GGAAGTAGTCCATCCACTTGTAATTAGTACACTGATTTAGGTCTCTGGGGTAAAGACGTTATTCTTGGCTCCCTTTGAGGGGGTGACTATATATTTAGACAGAGGGGAATTAATTTACTGCCTTTGTGGACCGGGGCACCAACCAGCATTGCTGTTCTCTACCTGGTAAATGAGACTCCTGGGATGTGACTGATGTTAAAGTCTCGTGATGAGTTAATGTGTGTCCCTGTCACCTACTCGCATCACTTTGATTATCATTGGGATTGAATGGATAGTTTGAATATGGCTCAACGACCTTGAAACACATTTAGTGGGGAAAATGATTTAGCTCCATAATTACGGATTAAATGAGCTTTCATTGAACAATATGAAGGTATCTGTATTTATACATGTAGATATGTAAAGGTGAGGTTTTGTTGAGCAGATCCAAGGTTGTCCTGCTGCTGTGTGAAATCCCCCCAGACCCAATCAGGAGCACATCAGCCAGAAAGTCAGTTGGGATCAATCAGGAGTAGACTGGCATTTCCCCTCAGATCCAGACAACTCCCTGCCATCTGATCTCTTTTTCTGGTCTGTTTTAAACAAGTTTTCGTGCTGCTTTTATGACTCTCTGATCTTCTTTGTTTTGGGTTTTTGTATGTAGGCACTGATGCACTATGCTGGGAGCAGGAACTCCATAGAGCATGGTCTGCCGCTTCTGGAGGTCTACTGCCTGTCTATAAACTGCTTTGCTGCAGCCCGATCCCACCTCACCGCAGAGTCCGACAGAGTGGCCCTCGTTTTGAAGAGGCTAGCGTTGTAAGTACTTCCAAATATCTCACGTTGCATAAACATATACAACTGTGGAAAATCAGTTTAGCTTCCTTTGGTTCGTTCATTTGACAGCGTTTCCATGTCCACACTCTCACTGCCTGCTGTATTGAAAGGTGATAAGTTCAGGTTCTTTGATTACTTCAGTTCACGATGGCCTGCCTCCAAATGCTGACAATTGTTAGTTTGCTGGATTTCCTGATTTTGTTGTTTTTAAAAATTTTCCTTTTAGATTTATGCCATTGAGTACCAGTGAGTGTTAATCGTTACAGCACAAATGAATCCAGTCTCTCACTCTTCCATCTTCTGAACTCTGAGTTATCTTTCTACACCAAGTTTCACCCTTTTATCTGTATGTATGCTGCTGCTGTTAATTGATTCTTCTCCAATTTTTGTTCACCGAGTGGGCAACACGCAACACGCTGTCTCTTTCGTGGAGATTTGCCGTCTTACTGTGTCGGTGTCAGGCTTTACTGCTCTCAGCTTCTGTCCTTTACTTTGTTTGACACTCTTTGGCGTAGGTGTCTGACCTTGCTGTGAAACGTGTAATAAACAGTTGTTATCGTCGACAGATCATCGTTAACACTTCCAATTTCTGGCTAGGCAATGGCACATCTAGCAAAATTATCATTTACATTATCATTTCAAATTTCCAAAATCACATTATACCTTCTTAAAAAACATAATGGAACACTGCAGCTAGTGCGCATGAGCATTTTTGAGAAGGCCCTTTCTTTACTTTCAGGACAGAGGGTACTCCAACACTCATGGATACACATAAAAGGGCTTGAAACCTCTCCAAAATAAAGGCCTGGTCCTAGAACAGTTCTTCAATGCTGTCGCATAACATGCTATTAATTCAGCTACTAAGATCTTTATTGTGTTGAAGATGTTTAGTACTTTTGCTGGAATTTTATTTTTTTTAAAGTTCAAAATGTATGTAAATGTGTTCATTTCATAGTTTGATTATATTGGTAAAGCCAAAGTCCCAATAAAGCTCTGCTCATGCTTGCTTTTATTTTGTAGCTGCTTTTATGAGATGTCTAAATATTTAAAACATGATCAATTCAAATTAGCTGAGTGAGATGGCATCTGCTTGCAGCCTGTTTCAAGATTGTTGCTCTGCGCTAATAAAAATAAATACATTTGTAACTGTTTCCGACTGCTCAAAATGTTAGACATGACCTGTCTAACAAAGATTGGGCTTTTGTTTAATGTAAACTGACTGAATATCGATCCAGAGTCTGTCATGTCATTGTTGTGGATCACAACATGCATATCGCCATCCTAATTCACATTCATCTCAAAACATGCTTTCTCATACATTTGTGCTAAAGTTTTTCATTGTTGCTTCTGTGCTTCCACAGGGAAGAGACAGAACGCTTATAACACATGACAACATTTTTAATAAAGCTTGATCAGAGCTCTTTAAATGTTTATTTTTAAAAAAAAGAATTGCTAACTTTTTTCCACTGCTGCTGTGACCTTATGTCCATAATGTAGTTCATTTAAAAAAAAAAAAAAGTCCCTTATCAAATAGACACATTAAGGACTGCACTGTCTCTGGATCATTAACATGTTGATCACCAACTTTTATCTGCTTGGGTTGGTCTACATAATCCCACCCACACCTCTTGTTAGAAGAGGTTCCAGGCATCTGATTGGCAAAAACTTTTTAATCCTACAGGCAACTTTTTAATCCTAGAAGAAGGGCAAAGACGAACTAAACATGACTAGTAGACGTGACTCATTTGTTACCGTCAGTTACATTAAAGAACTTGTACACTACATGACAACATCTCTAAATTAATTTACTGAACATACTTGCATGACATGAATTGGGTCAGTGAGACCTTCACATTGCTGCATGTCAAGTTCTGAGTTGGCATACTTCAGCAAAGCTCAGGTCTGATCAAAGGTGGTGCCAGTTGTTTCACTCTGTGTCTTGGATTGTTGAACAACTGCCTGCCATTTAACTATTCAAAGTGTTTCTGTTAAAGTCTGTCTCCAAAGAATTTCAGCAGCTGTTTTGTTTCGTTTTTCGTGCAGGAGCTGTTTTGAACTACTGCTGTCAGTGCCTGAGAATGAGATCCCATATGAAGCCTGGGTTCAGTTCCACCACTCCGTTCAGGTACATGAGCTTTAAAAAGGGATGGGGCATAGACAGATATCGAACAGCTCATTGCTATACATTCATTATTTGTACCTTACACAAATCTTCATCTTCTCTGAGCTTCAAATGATCTCTTTTTTAAAAAGAAAGTCAGTTCCTTTATCTGACTGTTAGGTTAACTAATCTTTCCTCAGGCATAAAAAAAACCTTCACTGAAGTGCTTTAAACAGCCAGCTGTCTCTGCACACTCACAATCTCATAGTAAGAGCAGTGCCATCTTTGTTTTTTTAAATTTCCTGATTCTGCCAGCCTTATGTGAATTAAAGGCTGTCTAATAGAGAATGGTGAATACATTCACCTCAGACTGATCAGCAGCAGTATTTATGACCTCTTCTTTCTACTGCATATCAGTATTAAACTAGAATTTATCTTACAGTTGGAACACGTGAGCCTTTTTTGCAGCAGACAGAGATCAAAGTCCTCTGAACTGCCTTTGTAGTAGATCCCGCTTCAGTTGCTGTCATCAGGAACACATTTTACCTCTTACACACACACACACACACACAGAGATCCACATTTACTACCAGCCATATGAATATATGTCTGAAACACCAGTTTTTAAATATAGTGTTTCAATGTAAAGCTTCTACACACAAATTTAGGGAAACGGTGATGTGTTTGATTAATCAAAAAATAAACCAAGTTATTTTTTGGGGATGCGTCTGTATGATTTGGTATGATATGCTGAACATAGTGTGTTTTACAGTTCTTCATTGTATGCAAGAATCACATTGTTTGCCAACTGAGTTAGAAAAAACAAACAAATGTACTTTAAGATATTATTTTCTTTTAAAGTGACAACTAATGATGATTAACAGAAACATTTTGCTTGTGTGGAGAAGGGTAACTTATTAAAGATTCTAATTTGGGAAAATTCTTTCCTCTGTGGTGTTTTCGTATCCTTTTGTGTGTATTGCAGATTGCCCATGACACCTTGTTACAGTATGGCAGCACAGACCTCCAAGCTTTGCTCCAGATCACTGGAGAGGGCGGGGCATGGAGCAACCCGGTCCTGACCGCTCTACTCACTGGCCAGCCCACCAACCAAGAAGAAAGTAAGGAGCTGGTTGATTCCTTCCCGATTTGAGAATAACCGTGCTGCCACCATGGTTTTTTAAATTTATTTTTGATGGCTTTCAACTTGGATTTCTCTTTCGCGCTCTGCCTGTAGTTGATGCGTACATAACTTTGGAAGGCGAGGGCTTTATGGAGATGCGGGTGAAGCATCTGGAGAAAATGGGCGAAGTGGCCAAAGCCGTGGTGTTGGCCAAAGCCTGCACTGAATGCAGCTTCATCCCCAACCAGGCAACGTTTCGACAAACGTTTGTGTCCCTGCTCTGTCATCTGCTGCCCAGCGAAGAAGCCATAATGGAGGTAAGAAAACAGGTTTATCCTTCGTTTAAGCTCTCTAATACAAGTTCGGCTAGTTTCTTATGTGCCAAGCTAACAGTGTAAAGGTGGTTTAAAGTGAAACACACTTATATCTACTGGAGTGGGATGTATTCACAAATATGGCAGCGGGCCCATATTCAAAGTTTATCTGCTCTGCCCCAAACACTCTGCTTTTCTGAGGTTTATTTTTAAATCTACCTGCGTGTGCAGGATGAGTAATTTGTGGCCTATTTTTGTAGATTGTGTAAAAAAAAAAGTATGTATCTTTAGAAATAAATATATGAAGTAATCCATATTGATATTTTTTCTGTTCTGTCTGGAAGTCACAGTGAGTATGGAAAGAGTTTCAGGGGCTGTGTGGGGTGATTTAATGAATCCTGTGTTTAAAAAAAGAAGTAAAATGTTGGGTTTAAGTAATGTTCATATCATAGAGGCATTACCCTTTTTGGTACACAATTAATGCTGGGTCATGTTTGAGTCATTTTGCTCTGGCGGCACTAGATAATGTTGACCTAAAAAAGAGCCTATTTTTATATTACAGAACACTTTATGTTCAGTGGTTTTTCTATCCCATAAAAAGCAATGATTTATTACTGTATTTTAAGTAAAAATTGAGATCTAAAGATGTTTCTATTGTTATTTTCCATGCCATGATATTAACGTTATACTCTGTTTGCATCTGTCAGATATCCAGATTGGACTGTAAAGACGTTCTGGAGATCACGTGTAATTTAGAGACGGAGGGAGAGGAGAATACTGCCTTCATTCTGTGCACAACTTTCCTGACGCAGCAGCTACAACAGCAGAGTCTTTACAGCTCCTGGTGAGTGTCTGTGTCCGGCTTAGCCTGTGTGTTAAACGGATGCAATAGTTGGCCCGAATTATGTGACAGCAGTAAGACTATATATCAAGATATCAGGTGTTGGATTTTTTAGTTTTGCAGAATGTGATAGTTACATTGTTCATACATTTTTGTTTTTTATCATTTAATCAAAAGGGAGTTGACTCTATTATGGAGTAAGCTTCAGAGGAGGCTGGATCCTTCAGTGATGTCTCTTTTGGAAAGATGCCTTCAGCTTGGTGCCATCGCCAAAACTGTTCAGCATTTGCTTTACCTGGTCCGTGTGATTCAGGCAGAGGTAAGTGGAAAGAGCATTGCTTTTTTTCTCCTGAATTAATTTTAGAATTGTGGCTTTGCATTTTAACATCCAATGTATCCCTTTTCTCTTGTTCCAGGCGGAGGAACTGGGGATACCAGCTTCGGTGGAACTGTGTGTTAAAGCTCTGCAACTTCCAAAACAGGATGACTCTGAAACCAGAATATCTGTCTGTAAAACAGTGTCCTGCCTTCTTCCAAACGATCTGGAAGTTTTGCGTGCCTGTCAGCTTACAGAGTTCTTACTCGGCCCCTGCCAGGAAGCCTTCAGTTTACTTGAGGAGCTCTACTTGCGCCCTGACCAAAAGTTTGAGCAGGAAAACGAGGTCATTCCCAACTCGCTACGCTGTGAGCTCTTCCTAGTGCTCAAAGCATACTGGCCCTTCGACCCGGAATTCTGGGATTGGAAGACCCTCAAGTATCAATGCATCTCCCTTCTGGGATTGAAGCCTGAGTCAGAGGGGGAAGAAGAAGAGAAAGAAGAAGAGGTTGGACTTAAACAAGAAAATATCAAGCAAGAGGAACTGCAGGAATTTACTGTGGGAGTCGAATCAGGTCACCAAACCAGGAGAAATGGAGGTCTTGATGGTCATAAGAATGAGGATAAAAGACAGTCCAGTCCCAATACAGAATTCCAAGGAGAACCTGAGATAAAGCGGCAGAAGTTGTGCTGTCAGATTTGTAAGAGGTCCATCAGCGAGGTGCAAATCATTCATCATTCCAAAAGACACGCCAAGGAAAACAAGCACCCCTGCCCCGTCTGCTTGGAAAAGTTTAGTAACAGAAAGGAGCTTGTGTCTCATATGAAAAAACACCTTAACAGCGAAATGCTTCACTCCCAAAACGCAGCAAAAAAGGAAGATGTTCAGAAACAGATGGAAGAGGATGACGACATCGAACCGGGTGAGATTCCCATTGACCCCTCCTTAATGCTCTATTACAAATCCACGCATGATCCAGATGTGCTGCAGCACATCGTCCAGCAGGCCAAAACGGCGAAAGAGAAGCAAGCAGATGACGACGAGCATATAACGTTCGATTACATCGAGGAGCACTTCAAACTGCATAACCGAGACGAGTATCCCTGCCCGGGTAGCGGGTGCACCCGAGTTTTTAAACATTCCAAGTACCTATACGTCCACTTAAAGTCAGAACACAGGGGTGATGACAATGTGAAATATTTCCATCAAATGAGAGATAAGCGGGAGAAATGTGTGTTTTGCCGGCGCCATTTTGTATCCGCTTACCACCACCGCAAACATCGAAGAGTTCACTTTGGCAATCGGCCCTACATGTGCGTGGTTATAGGCTGCGGTGCCCAGTTTAACACATCAAATGAACTTGTCACTCACAAGCAAACCCACGGCTACCATCTGAACTACCAGTGTGAGCTCAAAGGCTGTTATGTCACATACTCTGACCTGGGTCAGATCTATCACCATGAAGCACAGCATTTCAGAGATGCGGCCTTTACCTGCCCTGGCAGTGAATGTCGAAAATACTATTTATCCAAAAAGGAGTTTATAAAGCATTTATCTACACACAACATTACTTTCACTAAGGAGGACTTTGAGGCTCAGATAAAGGCAAAGCGGAAGCATTTTAAGACTATAACTGATCCACCAGTGCGCCTTAATGCGTCAGCTAATGACACAGACACTCTTAATGGTGATGTCCTAAACTGTCCATCAATTAGTTGTACTTCCTCTTCGCAAGAATCTGACGGCAGACCGCCAAAAACTACAATGACACTTGTGGCAGTGTGCTTTGATGGCAGTAAGTTCACCTGTGGCTTTGAGCAGTGTGGAATGACTTTTTCCAGAGCTAGAGATGTCCAGAGACATCTGAAGTGTGCTCACCCTGAACATCTGAAGCTAGAGAACAAGGAGCACAAACGCGTCAAGGAGCAGGGCTCCACCTTTAAAGAGATGAAGGATGAAACTGTTCAAGATGACCATGAAAAGGGAAGCAATGAGCTCTTGATACCACCTCAACCTGTGGAGCCTTGCAAAGAAAAAAATATGTTCTCTGATTCCATAGATGATGAATCAAGCTATGTAAACTTTAACATAAAAAATGATAGTCTTAAAGATATTCTTATTGGGCTGAGCAGACTGAGCCTAAACTCCTCGTCCGCTCACACTTTTCCAGGCGTGCCCCCACAATCCTGCCCAGACTCTAACGGATCGCAAATGTCCCTTCATCAGGCAATTATGGCAAAGCCTCCCATCGTATTGATTAAGAATAGGCCGAGTCTGCCCGATGACAGAGTAAAAGTCCAGTCTGAAAAAGCTTTGGTAGCCGGTGAGGAAAGCTGTGCTGAGTCTTTAGCCACTGCTAAGCCATATGTCTGTGAGATGGAAGACTGTGACTTCAGAACTGCTCAGAGTTACAGCCTACTGCGCCATTACAATACCAAACACGGCTGCTCCATTGAGCAGGCCAAGAAGATGACCTCCTTAAAAACCACTTCATTTAAGCCTTACATATGCCAGCTTTGTTCCAAAGGTCACAGAGAAAAACACGTGCTGAGGGCCCACTATATCAACACCCATAACATGAGCGAGGCTTTAGTAGACCAGATCAGCTGCGGGGCCGTGCGCTACGAGGAAAACCAGGAGCCCATGTCTCCAACCAAGCAAACATCTCAGCCTTTGATTAACCACAGTCCAAAAGTGAGGAAGATGGAGAACCCCAGACTGCAACGCCAACATGACACAAACAACTCCCCTTTGGGCAGAGAAAACGGAAAAGAGTTTGACAATTCGCCATCGGAAGACGAAGGAGAGGACGAAGTGGACAGAGGAGGGGAGGCAGAAATGAGTGACCAGAAAGAAGAAGGTGAGGACAAGACTCAGGTTAGAACAACAAGGCGGTTGGTTGCTAAAGGTAATCTGTGTTATATTCTGGACAAATTCAGTAAACCCTTTCATTGTGTGGCCAAAAACTGTGCTGCGGCTTTTTCGACCCAAGGGGGCCTAGTGCGCCACCTGCAGTTGGTGCATCACTACAACCGCTCTCAACTCCTGCTCGAAAAAGACTCTGATGAGCAAAGTCCCGAGGTTAGGAAAGAGCCAGCAAAGAAAAGGAGTCCCTCGAACTCGGATGAACCTCAGCCACAGTTCAAGTGTCACTTTGCTAACTGTAACGCCTCCTACCACCTTAAAAGCAGCCTCGTGCGCCACACTCGCGACTACCACTCTCAGCCACCACAGCTGATACGGTGCACGTTTGACGGCTGCTCGAGGGTGTTCAGCCACAACGATGCCCTTAAGAAACATACGCTCTATAGTCACTGTGAGTACTACGATTCACTGGTGTTACGTCTGCAAAGCACTCACAAGAAGTCAATTACTGGATGCCAAAAGAAGCTCATTGTGGCTCAGCAGGAGGAGGAAGAAAATGGTTCACCCCCCACCCAGGAGGAGATACTCAGTTCGAAGCCTGAATTGGCGGCCTGCTCAGAAGAGAAGAGTGAAGAAGTCATCGAAGAGAAGGAGTTGACGGGTGAAAAAAAGACAAAAAGGTATTGTTTCAGTCGCTTTGTCTTTCGGTCTCACGAAGAAGCTCTACAGATGTGCCAAGATCGCTGCCTGCGTGTAGCCTACCCATGCATGGTCCAGGACTGCGACTCGGTGGTCACCTACCTGCACAGCTTGAACCGCCACTACCTTCGAGTGCACCGCATGCGTAGAGAAGATCTTGTTAATAATGAGGATAGGCTTCTTTTTAATGCCGAGCAACTGGAAGAACTGATTCAAAGAAAGTCGGCCCGGCCGGCTGTAACAGAGGCTTGCGTCTCAAATGGGACTCACACATCTGAGGATCAGGCGGGGTCAGAAAATACGGGGGAGCTGAGCCCGTCCCCTGTTAAAGCAGATCGGGATGCACTGGGTCTTCCGGAGGGGGAGGAGGAGTTGCCACCTGTTGAGAGGAGCGGGGTGCTGGTTGGTGCTGACGAGGTGCTTTATGGTGAAGCGAGCACAGATGGGCACCCTGAGGACCCTGCCACGGCACCCCAGATCACTCCAAAACAAGAGGGGAGGTTAACATTGGATAAGATCAAACCTCTTCTGCGCCCATTGACTGTAGACCTCTCCCCACCATGCTCACTGCGTTTTACTAATGAGGAGAGTTTCCAAGATACATCCAGCAGCAAAGACTGTGGCAAAATGACGAACGGGTCAGCGACTGCGCCCTCTCCTCCTGTTCGCCAGCCCCTGAAACGCAAAAACGAACTGTCTGAACAGCCTTCCAACTTGAAAGACACTCAGCCTAGAAGCCCTTCCCAAAGCCCGTTCAACATAGCTGCCTACAAGCCCATGGGCTTTGAGTCTTCTTTCCTAAAGTTCATACAAGAATCGGCTCCAGCAGACAAAAACGCGCCTGTCAAACGGCGAGACGCTTTCAAGCGCAGCTGCTCTGTCAAAGAGAACAACCAGCTGGGAGTCTCTCACACCCGCACCAGACGCACTCATTCGACACTGGTGAAGCCCCATACCATGAGTGGAGACTTCACGTCAGTACAAAACTTGAAGTCCATACTGGACAAAGCCCTGGCTGGGTGTGGGGACCTGGCCATCAAGCAGCTTCAGTACCTCAGACCTGTGGTGGTCCTGGGGAGACCCGTATGCACCACCACCCTGCCTGAACTCTTCCCATCAGACACCAACAACAGCAAGCTACTTCTTGGAAGTTAGTCTAATGAAGCACCTTTTTAAAATGGCAATGGCAAATTACTTTGTATTTCCTCAAGCTATGTATCAGTATTTTTCATTTCTTACAGAACTGAGGATGTTATGTGTTGCTGTTTTGTTTTTTCAGTTGCCAAACTTAAGTTTTGTAGAAAATAGTAGAACAGAAAACAAGCCTCAACAGTGCACACCAGATCCAGTTTGACTGTGTTTTAGACAATGATAAAGACAATAATCGCCTAAATATGGAGTCATAATCACAAGTGTATATACAGTAGTCCTCCAAGATAAATGTACAGCTTTCCAGATTGTTAGGACTGGTTGGTAGCGTATTGCAAGGCCTTTTTCACTTTTGTGGAATTGTGACTGAAAAATATTTCCTTACAACAAAGTTCTCGAGGAATATTTCATTATTTTCCACCTCAGTTTATATGAAATCAGTGTTTGGATGCAGTGAACAGACATTGGCAGACATGTATGTAACACTTTCTAATTAAATAAATGTGGAAATTAATTCAGAGCCTTTACTTAACCGTGTAATGATCCTTTTTTTGTTTGCCGAAATTAAAAAAAGATTTGTTTTTTAAATGAATAAATTTGTAATTTAAGTTCATTTTTTTGTTTGAGTTTTCTTGTAATTCTAATGCCTAAACATTAGTATTCCTGATGTCTATTGGTTACTTACAGTTCAGTTAGTCTCAAATTACAGCCTTAAATTAAACAAAGAAGTCTCAGCAGTAGGATTTCTTGAAATACTTCAAAGTCTGTGTTATCAGCAGTCCATAATTCCAGTTTCCACTGGGTATTTGTGTGAATTAAAGGATAATATTTGGTACAAAAAAAAGTCAACTTAAAAGAAGTATACAGACAATGGTCGAAACATGCTGTTAAGACAAATCAAGTCCAAAACACACTAAATGGTGAAAGATTGAAAGAAAGAAAGGCAAATTTATCTCAAAACCACTAGAAAGAAATGAAAATGCATGCATTTGCCATAATTAGATGTAAAATGAAAGGGGTTAATGAATTCGATATTTTCTAAGTTTCTTTGTTAGAAAAAAGTATGGGCTCTCAAAAGCAGAGAGCACAGCTATCCTAAACGTCAGGGTTTGCTCGGTTTTTAGGTTGCTTGACTGAACTGATTATTTTTCTGCAAGCCAAACGAATGAATTAGTAAAAAAAAAAATCAATACACAAAATGACTCCATTGCAAAATTGTCCTGTTGATTTATGGACCTTTTTTGCCTCAAATATTTCTTGCACATACATAGGACTCAAACTTTGACCACTTGCTGGAGGAAAAAACAATGTTCATCATTTGACGTTCTTTTGCAACAATTTTTATGGCGATGTTTTATATATAAGATAAAATGTTCGGTTGTTTCAATGTTTTTGTGAGTTTGAGTAAGCTTCACACAGTCTACCGCGGAACCAAAGTGTCTACAGACTTTAATTTGATGTTTCGATGGGAACAGAAGTCGTGGACACGCTTTACCGACAGGCTGTTCGCATCTTACATGAATGGAATGAAATAAGATGTAAAGGCCTTGACCCAAGGAATGGAAGCTGGACACTGAGGTTTAACTTTTAGTCGGTAGCTGTAGATTCGACGCGTGGGTTACATTATTTTTGTTAAGTAACTGTATGTGAAGCGGAAGCTACACAGCCATTAGCAAAAGTACCAGCCAGGCTGTCAGAAACGGCCGAGCCAGAAAGCATTGCTCTGAGAAATCCAAAGCAAAGATGGTTGAAAGTGTATTTGACCTCCCGGTGGAAAAGCAGATATTTTATGCTGTCTTGGGATTCTCATGGACGGTGTATCTGTGGGAAGCGTATTTGTCTTACAGACAGGTGAGTAAACCGTTTCTTCGTAGCAGCGCCGCTGCTTTGTGACCGAAATGAAATGAAATCAGTTACGGAAGCAAACGACACGTAATATTGAACGTGTTATTTTATTGTCCTTTCAACTAATTTAGATTAGTGTTCATTCTCTGAGATGCAATAGGCACATTTGGTAATAAAAAAATCTAGGATAAACTTATTTGTTTGACGAATTTCCTTTTTTTGTCTACTGTCTACTGTACCTCCCCACCTTTGTGTAGCGTTTTTCTTTTTTATGCATTAGTGTCAGGTATTTGTGCAAGATGATCTTCAAATAAATTGATGCCTTTCTACAAATTATTAAGATCCAAACTTGGCATTAATATAGAACAAACATATGTGATTTTTTAACACCAATTATTCAACTGACCCCTAAAGACATTTGCTATATTGATCTGTTTTTTTTTTTTGATGAAATCCCTATGAATCTGCATCGTTGGATGTTTTAACAACGATGAACTGATTCAGAAAGTGCTGAATAAAGTTAATTTAAGTTTTTCCAAAGTCATGAACAAAATATTTTGAACAGGGTTTGCTCTTCATGTATTTAAGAGATGACAACGAATATCCACAATATGCTTAAAATATCATTCATCTTAGATATGTGGCCATGCTTGGCACCCTGAATTGGCTGCATTTTTGCTCTTCTTTACATTGTTCTCATCTCTTAACCCTTTTGTATAGAGGAGGATATATAGGTCGACAACACATGTACCACAGGAACTCGGCAAGATCATGGATTCCGAAACCTTTGAGAAGTCTCGCCTTTATCAGCTGGACAAAAGCAACTTCAGCTTTTGGTCTGGGCTGTATTCTGAAACAGAAGGAACGGTAAGACTGCACATTAGTTAAAAAGAAAAAACAATCCTCGAAAAAGGATTAAAAAGCTAGTCAAATCTGTCATAGTCTGTGTCCCTCATTGTGATAATACCCCATATTTAAACCTTTCAGTTGATCCTGCTGCTTGGTGGAATCCCCTTTCTGTGGGGCGTCGCTGGCTCTCTGACGAGTCGCTTCGGATTCAGTCCAGAGTACGAGATCACCCAGTCCCTGGTGTTTCTGACTCTTGCCACCCTGTTCAGTGCCTTTACTGGACTTCCCTGGAGTCTGTACAACACGTTTGTCATTGAGGAAAAGCATGGCTTCAATCAGCAGGTGTGCCCCCCACATCACAGCAGCAGATATTAAACCAACAACCAGAGCTGCTCCATGTGTAAAGATGCAAAACTGATATGAATGTCTGGTCTGCCTCTTAGACCTTAGGGTTCTTCATGAAGGATGCTGTGAAGAAGTTTGTTGTGACCCAGTGTATCCTGCTGCCTGTGACCTCACTTCTTCTCTACATCATAAAGATCGGTGGAGACTACTTCTTCATATATGCTTGGCTTTTTACTCTGGCGGTTTCTCTGGTTAGCATTCTTTTTACTTTCCCTTGAACCTAGAAATTCCTCCTTCTTTCAAGGAAGAAACATGTGCCCTCCATGAATGCTTAGCATAGAAATGCTAAGTTTGATCATTTTATTTGAGTTTGTCCTACACTCAGTTAATCACAAAGCATCCTGTCTTGTTCTGTGTCCTAAGGTACTTGTAACCATCTACGCTGATTATATTGCGCCCCTATTTGACAAGTTTACCCCACTGCCAGAAGGAGAATTAAAGACAGCAATTGAGACTATGGCCAAAAGTATAAGCTTCCCCCTAACAAAGATTTACGTAGTTGAAGGTAAGTCCCGGAATGTGTTGTTTTCTTTTTATACATATTTGGTTGAGGAAACTTCTATCTTTAATTTCTTTTGATATTTCCATGATTCCAGGTTCCAAACGTTCATCACACAGCAATGCATACTTCTATGGTTTCTTCAAGAACAAGCGAATTGTGCTGTTTGACACTCTTTTGGAAGACTACTCCCCTCTTAACAAGGCAGGAGAGCCACAGCCCGAGCAGCCAGAGAGCGATGAGACATCCAGCGAGTCAAAAGCCAAGCCCAAGGTTACAGGCGTCCTTTGATTTGAATTTACTGTGGCATTTAAAGGGGGAATCCTAAAGGCTTTGAAGTGTCTTGAGTTTCTGGCTATAAGAAGATAACTTTAGAATTTGACTCAATGATTTTGAATTCTCCAGCTGTTTTGCTTTTTTTCCCCCTTTTAAAATATTTTTTATTTTGTTCTTAGAACAAGAAACAGGGATGCAACAACCCGGAGATCCTTGCTGTTTTGGGTCATGAGCTTGGTCACTGGAAACTTGGTCATACCGTAAAGAATATTGTGATCAGTCAGGTAATAAAGATTCATCACTACACAGTGATTTATCCATATATGTATATATACACATTTGTAGTTTTTACCGTTAATGCTTATGTAAACTTTTATCTCCTCAGATGAATTCCTTCCTGTGTTTCTCCCTGTTTGCTCTTCTGATTGGACGCAAGGAGCTGTTTGTAGCTTTTGGATTCACTGGCAGCCAACCCACATTAATAGGCCTGATGATTATCTTCCAGTTCATCTTCTCTCCTTACAATGAGGTGACAGTAAGATTCTAAGAGCATCAACTCACAAAATTGTACTCGTTTGGGCCCTTTTGAATAAATGTGTGTATTCTCTCTTTTTCAGCTCCTGTCTTTCTGCCTGACAGTTCTAAGCCGCAGGTTTGAGTTCCAGGCTGACGCCTTTGCACGTAATATGGGCAAAGCATCAGAGCTCTACTCTGCTCTCATCAAACTCAACAAGGACAACCTGGGCTTCCCTGTTGCAGACTGGCTGTTCTCCATGTGGCACTATTCCCATCCTCCCCTCCTTGAGCGCCTGAGAGCGCTTGGCAACGTTAAGCAGGACTGACGGGGCTGGAAGGGGGAGCGGCGCCCGCTGCCTCCTCCAAAGGGCCTCCGCCGGCCCCTCCTGGCCCTGTGATGCAACTCAGTCATTCTCCTCCCATCTGTCCCCCTCATCTACTGCTATTATTATCCTGTTTGAATCTTTTCCTCACTTGTCTTGATTTTCCTTTTTGTTACCTTTGCAACTTTATTCTAAACCAAACCAAAACATATCAGCTCCAGGCAACTTGTTCACCTTCATTCCCCAATTTCCTCCTTGAAACATCTATGATGCAACTGCTGTGAGCAATACATCTGGACAATGTGTGGTTGTTGTTGCACAGAACGGATTTTACTGATTGGCCCGATCATTTTGTTTTTAGAATTTCATTTTTTTATGTTGGAGAAAAAAAAAATCACTTTTCTAAATAACAGACGTACTGTTGTGATGCTGCTGTTACATCCAACTACTGATAATACAGAAGAATGATTATTACAGTCTATTTCGACGAATTGTTTTAGTATTGATAGCAACAAATCCAGTTTCCTTTGTTCTTGTGACAACACTTTTACATATACACAGGCCAGATTTTGATTTGTCTCTCAAGTGCAGCTGCATCTTCAGCAGTCAGGCTGTAGAGAACTTTTGTTGAACTAATTTCCTCCAATTTGTAAATTTAGTCAGTGGAGCTGCGTAAAATGCTTGGTCACCTCGACTAAATGAGTGCCTCTAATTGTCTCTTTTTGTTCTAGCGGTGACCAGAGCAGTGCAGGAACTTTCATTTGAAGTTAAATTAGACTTGTGATTTTATTTTCTACTTGAAGTGAGGAAATTATGTTTTACTTTTTCTTAAACTCCAGCTTGCCGTCAAGGGTCCAAGCATCCATGTATATATGTAATTTTGATGATTAGAGTTAGGATGTGCAAGTGAATTGTAAAAACACTGAATGTGGTTTGAAATTTTATGTTAGCATGATGGTTAGTTTCTTCAATTTTGGCCCAGTGTTGCCTGGCAATCAAAATATTAATATGGGACTTTGGGAGAGGGCTGACATGGTTCCTTTCACCACTTGAGCCAGAGTTTGGTTTGTTTGAAGAGAGGACTGAGTACTTTCTTTGCTGCAATGAATAAAATCTTACAAAGCATGCCATTTTGGTTTCTTGTTTGGCTTAGATTGCCATATTTTACAGCCTTAGTTTAAGCATTGCTTGAGGAATGCACCACAAAGTGAAACTGAAAGTTTTGGTAAAAGAGAATTTTCATAATTGTTTTTCATATAATGGTTAATTTCAGGTTCATCCCCATAATGTTATCAAAAACTAAGTTAAGTTGTGTACATACATTTATACATTTTTCAATGAAAAATAGAGGAAACTATATATATATATATATATATATATGGAAAATTAGATACTGCCTGATTTCTTGTTTGGCTTAGATTGCCATATTTTGCTTTGTTTCTTGAAGGGTTTGTCATTAACACTTTTTATTAACACAAAGTAGTGTTTTGATATGTGTTTGTTGAAAATGTGGTGGCCAACCATAACTATATGCAAAAAGATGCATGTATCAAAAGTTATGACTGTCCTGCGCGTGGGGTCAGCAGCGACTCACATTAAGATTACGTCTCACCCGATTCACATTTGAGACCATACCATCATTGGTATAATTTATTACTGTTTTTTAAACCTTTTTAAGCTGTTGTAACAGTTGTAGATGTTATTTTTCAGCATTATATTAGAAACATTGTACAGCAAGAATAGTTATTTATAGGATTTCTGTCATTAAACGAGTATGGCAGACGTGTTGCCACCCCCACCGTCCCGATAATGGCGCGGCCCTGTGGTGTGTTTTTTGTGGACAAGGACAAGCGGCAGTGTCAGTGTTGTTTTCATATATGAGAATCGAACATGGCGAGGTTTTTGGGGCCTAAGATCAGGAGTTTTGTCACCTCGCAGCTCAGAATGTCATCCGATCAGGTAAAACACGTCCCGTACACACGTTGCTCCCATTCAATATGACGCCACCATCCGTTATATGCGACTCATTTTCCCAACATATTTCCCCATAATTCTGCGAACCTCCGTTTCCGGACTGTGCAGTTTTAATTAATGGCGATATGATGTTTAGGTGAAATAAATTACATAGCACCTCAACTGACTCCTACTGATTAGCGTATGCATTAGCTTGATAATGGATTGGAGCTGATTAAAATTTACCTTCGACTGTCAACTGTCAAAAAACCACTCATATAATAATGTAGTTAATCAATTTGTTTTGTCCATTGACGTTGTAGATGCACTGTTATCTCATTAATTAGTTTAAATTCCGTTCCAAATACCTCGAAACCTGGGATATAAAGTAGCTTTTTATTCTCCTCTGTGTCGTAAACGAAATCTTGACCTTCAGCTGCTTATCAGAGTCCAAGTAAGTTTACCTTAATGTAACAGGTAACCATAACCCAACTGTGGAAGAACCTGGCATTAATGTTATGTCGGCTGAATCGCTCGTTAATATTTCCCTATGGTGCAAACTTCCAACAGTCTGAGCGCTTTGGTTTTTGTCTGATTTAAGTCACAAAGTATATTTGCTTTGGTCTGCTCTCCTGCCCTTGATCTCAGTTGGGTGAGCTTGGTAAAGGTGCAGGGAAAGGTGGTGGAGGCGGAGGTTCCATCAGAGAGGCAGGTGGAACCATGGGCAAGAAGCAGGCTGCCGAGGAGGAGATGTACTTTAAGTATGTATGACTTTTTTCCACTCCAACCAAATTGTGGTTTAATGGCCAGCTGTCTGATTTTGTTCAATTTTCCCATTCTTCTTCTTATCTTGTGTGCTTTTTATCTCGACTTTTCACCTGCACACAAGGCGCAAAGAGCAGGAGCAGCTGGCAGCACTGAAGCAGCATCATCAAGAGGAAATTGATCACCACAAAAAGGAGATTGAACGCCTCCAGCGTGAGATTGACCGCCACAAGGGAAAAATCAGAAAGCTGAAGCATGATGACTGAGTAAAGCACTCTGGGAAAAAGTTCATTTTGCACACTGTCCCAGACGCCTTGAGTAATAAGAGAAGAAAAGATCAACTTTATTAATCCCATGAGGGAAATTCAGTTTCACTCCAACTGCTGCATGCATTACTTTACTAAGGTGGACATGAATGTGTAGGAGAGTTTGTGTAAATGCTTGAAAGTTATTAAAACTGTTCACCAAATAACAGTTGTTTCCATGGCATGCAAATGTTCAATTATTTCAACCGCTGTTCTGTTGTGCCTCATTGTCCTGTATGTGGTGTGCAGGATGCCACAGTGGTAACATCTAAATATAAACCAGGCATCATATCGCAAGATCACTTCATAAATGGTAATGTGAACTTCACCACTAGTTCAAAGTGCTGTAACAGTTTGACAGTTAACGCTTCTCGGATGTTTGGATTTGCAGCTTCATATTGTTCTATGCCAGTGTTAAGTAGGCTATGGAACATGTGCTCAACGTCAACAGCGGTCAGCACATTACAACCCCATTTCAACTCATTTTAGTAAAATATAAATAAATTCTGATGATAACAATCACTAATACCAAGAAATATATGTTATCTTTGTTTAAATACAAACATTATGCATAGTAAAAGGTTAGCATGACAAAAAAAAGGAATGAGGTAAAGAACAAATGAACAATGATCGCATACATTTTAGAGAACAAAGGAATGGACTTTGTCTGGCATGGATTGACCAGGTGGGCCTCATCTGCTTGGCATTCTGCAGTGACTACCTACAACATGCGTGCACCACCTATCATCTATAACAAAACCATTTAGGGTATTACAGTGTTTATATATGTCTAACCCAGTAACTAAATCCAAATGGGACCATGTAGTGATGCCATTTTCCAAATCTAGTAATTTCACTTATGACCTGGCCAGCAAGAACCAACACGAGGTGTAAACGTGGGTTCCCCCATGTAGTTTTTACAAGTCTCTACATGATTTTCAATTTATGTGAAAATCACAGACTATTGGATTTTGCAGATAATCAAAAAGCCCATCCCAGCAGACATAAGGCTCCGTTTTTAGTTAATCTTGCCCTACCGGGTTCAGATGCAGATTATTTGAATATTTTGGTATTTTACTAATGAATGAAACAGTCTAAAACTATATTAGTTAGGCGGTGCAACTAAACTACGGCACACGATAACAGGGGCGGTAAAACACGTTACACGAACAAGGAGAAGGAATTCTGAATGTCATCACTTCCGCTCACCCCTGCCTTTTAGCACGAGCAACCCCGTCTGTCTTTCTTTTCGCTCATCATGGCGGACCGGTTCAATAAGGTGGGTAGATGCAGCGTGGATAAAATGCCTACTTTTTAGCCTTTAACTGTCATTATTGTCCATCCTGTTTCATTAAAGCAAAGAGTTTCACCTGTGGAATTGGTAGATATGATAATTGTTTCGTTTGATTCCGTGTATAATACCTTTATTTAAGAAATCTGTGGCGGCTAGCTGTTACTGAGTGAACATGCCTTCATCATGGCAGCTTCCTTATCAAGAATAGTGTTAGCTTGCTATCCAGAATTTATAAGCTGGACTTTGCCACTTTGTAACGAAATGGCACAGTTAGGTTTAATTCGTGTATTCTCTCGAATGAACTGTCTGTTGACACTATCAGACGATTTCTTGGAATTGGAGAAACCGTGCTGCGTTTACGTGTCGGGGTTACCTCTCATGGAGATGCTAAGCTAACGAACGCTACCAGCAGAAGGTCCATGCGCCAAGTCTAAGACGCGTGGAGGAATGAATACATTGAATTATAGGTCGTTAAATTATTTGATTAGCAGATTAAGCTGGCCTTTCGTGGAAGCAAATCGTTAATTTTTAGGGTTAATTAAACGTGAAATTCACATGATTATTACTATTTATGCAGGTTCTGCTGCTTGATGGCAGGGGCCACCTACTTGGCCGCCTGGCAGCCATTGTGGCTAAGCAAGTCCTCCTGGGTAAGTATTAATTATTGTTTACTGATTAATGAGACCATGTTAATTGCTGGATTGCTAAATTTGCCTCAATCTGTCTGTGATGATTTCATTATCCCCCTTGGTCGAGAATTACAATGAGAAGACTTACATGCACTACCATCTGAGATAGGAGGCATAATAATGGATAAATCTGATCGTCATTAGTATATTTATTTGTTAACCATCAACATGTCTTATTTTCAGGACACAAAGTTGTAGTGGTGAGATGTGAAGGCATCAACATTTCCGGCAACTTCTACCGCAACAAGCGTAAGTCTGTGTCCAAATCTGGATTTGTGTTTTTCTTGGGAGAATGCTTGTCGGTGATGATTTTTCTAATGTAGTTCCGAGTTTAACTGACCATGAGAATATCTTACATGCACTACCATCTGAGACAACCACATTGAAATGTCGCTTTCCCGTGTCCCAAGCGTAGCTTTTTTCTAACTTGCCTGAGTTTTGTCACAGTGAAGTACCTGGCTTTCCTGCGCAAGAGGATGAACACCAACCCCTCTCGTGGACCGTACCACTTCAGAGCTCCCAGTAGGATCTTCTGGAGGACTGTCAGAGGTGGGAATCTAAAGCCAGTCACTTTATTGTGAGACATGGTGAATCCACAGATCACATCATGCAGGTTTTTTTTTTTTTTTGGTTGACTTTTGCCTTGTATCCTGTTTTCTGTGGGTTGACTGTGTTAATGGGTCCTTGCTTAACAATGATGATCACTTTATCCCGAAGCTGACATCCATTGATGAGCCAAAACCTCACGGATCTGATTGCTGAGTTTAGCAAGGACCTCCATTTAGTGCGCTTACAGTTGTAATGGTTTTTTTTGTTTGTTTTTTGGGCAAAGTGTTCAACTAAGGCTTCTTTTGCAAACAGGTATGCTACCCCATAAAACCAAGAGAGGCCAGGCTGCCCTGGAGAGGCTGAAGGTGTTTGATGGTATCCCCCCACCATATGACAAGGTGTGCTGGCATTTTTTTCATGAGCTTATCTTCTCCTGCTGTCTGTGATGTCATCTGAATTACCCTTCTTGTTTGAACTGATGTTATGAGAGGAAATCATCTCTGAGACATGTATTTGGTATATATGAATACTTGCATTTTTATAATTTTTCCTCATATTGAAATCTCATTTTGTTTTGCAGAGGAAGCGCATGGTCGTCCCAGCTGCTCTTAAGATTGTGCGTCTGAAGCCCAGCCGCAAGGTACAAATGAAGGCTTTACTTGCATTGGGAGAAAGTATCTGTGTGGGATGCAGTTAGAAATAAGACAACAGTTGGAGTTACTTTTTGACAAATGTAACGGATTAGAGTGCAGTATTATAAAATTAATTAGTGTCTTAATGGTTTATGAAGTTGCCCTAAAATTGATCTCTACTTCTCAGTTTGCTCTCCTTGGGCGTCTGGCGCACGAGGTTGGCTGGAAGTACCAGGCTATCACAGCTACTCTGGAGGAGAAGAGGAAGGAAAAGGCAAAGCTCCGCTATCAGAAGAAAAAGACAGTGACCAAGCTTACCAAGCTGGCAGAAAAGAACGTAGAGGCTAAGATCTCAAAGTACACAGACGTTCTGAAACAATACGGTGTACTTGTCTAAGCTGGTTTCTTCTGGCCAATAAAAAATAAATAAATGTTTATAGAAAGTGTTTTGAATGTTCATTTGTCTGGATGTATCATTTGCTGTGATGTGAATACTAAGATGACATAACCACATGTTGTAACTAACATTAAATCGTTCCTAATTTTCTTGTGCACACCTTAGGATCAAACCATGGTATGCCCCCAAGATTGTTGGTATAAAGGAAATTCAACTAGTTACTTGCAAAAACTGCTTGGACTCTGCTTACATCAATGCCCTGGCACAGCTGCCTTCTAAAGATGGCAGCCCTGTCTCACAGTATGGCCAAAGCAAAGGAAGATGATGCGCATTGTGAAATGAAAGACAACCTTTAAAAAATTTTTTTTTTTTTTTTTAAACTTAGGTATAGAAAAGCTAGTTTTCACCTTGAGCTTCAAAGATTGCAACATGCAATAAGGTGGGCTTCATTTGGTATGGAGTGGTGTAATTTATTTTAGGCACCAGCAGAGGACAGTTTTGCACTAGGAATGAAACTGCTCAGCAAAATGTCCATTTTTATTTCTAAACTATGCTTAAATGTGTCCTTAAAAGAAACATGATGCAATACATAAACTTTGTATAAAGTTTTGTTAAATAGACACTTATGTGCTTTAAATTGAGGCCAATAAGTTACAGAAGTAAAAACTACAAATCCATGTTTAATTTTAAATTCACTTCTGTGCTTTAGTTCTGGGTCAAAGCTTTTCAGGAAATCCAAACAAAATCCATTTCTGTGGTAACTATTTCTCAGCCCCTGGTTATTAGACTTTTCTGTGAGAATTTATTCTGAGGAGCTCAGAATCAAGTAAAACTTCTTACAAATGCAACTGAATCTCCTGGGAGTGGATAGCTTTCAGGGCTCTTTTGTTGGGCTTTCTTCAGCTTCTCTACTTAAATTAGGACAGACTCTGAGGTTATTAACAACCAGCTCATTTGCTCTCACCAGCAATACATTTGAAACATCCCCTTTTGTTCATGTTCAGTGATTCGTTTTTTTTTCTTTCTTTCTCAGCGATGATGAGATTGCTTTACTCCAGATGGGACAGAGTGGACCTGTCCGTCAAAACCTCCCAGTCAGTTGTAGAAACTCAATCTACATCAATCTCAATCACTTCTGGCTTAATCATCTTCTCGGCCAGTTGAGACCAACTATCTTCATACTTGGCTGTGGTCTCATCAAAGTGACCTCGGAATGGTTTCCAGGTAATTGGTAGATTTGACCACACTGAAAAGTTATCAAAGCATCATTCAAACTTTACGTGGGGTTTTAACTCACAATAGTCCTGAATTATTTTGGCTTCCTTGGACTATACTGACTGAATGAGCACAGTCTTAATTAGCAGGAATATATTGCTGCAGGTTTGCATTAATTATGATTACAACAGTTTTCCAACTTTATCAGTTTGGCAGCTCACAGAAAAACATTCATGATTCATGTTAGGGAGTCAAAAGAAAAAGACTGGGACCAACCATACTTAATAACAGTAGGTGTAACATTTAAAGCTATATATTACCAAGAAAATATATATTGTTCTGAGATGTTTGTATGATCAAGGTTCATTGGTGTGGTCTTGGAATTGTTTAAGTTCTATTTAGTAACTAATCATTTTCATTCTGAGGGTTGCCTCTTTTCACTCTTATACTTAATAATGTTCTAACACAGTGCAACATGTTCGTTTTGATATATTAAACCACGACATTACCATAAAGCTCCGGTCCATATCCAGATGGAGGACACCTTTCAATAAAACCCAACGCCACACATCTGCTCCTGAATTAGCTCTGAGCACCGTGCATTGCCTTCATGTGATTAGTTACACACGTGTAGGTATTGTGCTGTAGTCCAATGGCATTTCTTACTTATAATGGCATCACCATATTGGGTATCTTCCTGATTAAAACAGATGGTCCACGGAGGATTTGTTGCATCACCAAAAACTGGCAAGACGAGCCTCGGATTCCATGTTTGTCCCTTTTTTCTGATATGTACTAAAAACAGACATGCCCTCTGTAAAAGCTGTCCCACTGAGGATCGAAGCCAATCTGATGCCTGTCCACCTGCATTAAAGAGGGACATCATGCCTCTACTAAACAGATGGAGAAACGACTTTGACAGTTCCAAAGATGAGATATTTGGCCGATGGTGCTTGCAGCAGATCAGTCTCTTATCAAACCAGCTGAAGTGTATTGAATGTCTGATGTGTATGATAGTCTGAAAAGGTGCCTTCTAGGCTATCTCATTATGGTCTGTAACTACTATAGATATTCTCATCCCTTCCACCCAGTTTGCCTGCTGTGAAGTCGTGTTGGAGGATGTCAGTTGCAGTTTAACGGATATTGGGGAGATTTTGGGAAGGAATGTGGCTACCAACTGAACGGGACATAGATTAGGCTTCATTATCACATTTATAGCTTCTTTTTATCTTTTGTTACCACAGTAACCTCTCCTAGGACATCTTACTGCAGTGATATACCTGAAAGATTAAACCACTGTTACACGGCCTTTCATTACTTTGTGCATTCAGCACAGCATATGAGTAATGAGAATGATAAAAAGGCTTTTCTACAGGGCAGCATGAGCTGATTGGTTTGTTAAGCTTCTATTTGATGTCTGAGTAATGTCTTATTGCTCCTGAATTTGTCTCAAGCTTAAACCCAGAGTCATTTTTTAACCAAAGATGGCTTTAAGATCAATTTTGCATAGAGGAACATCTCAAGGTCAATAATTCGAGATATTCTTTCTCCTGGATGAAGGCTTGTGACGATGTTCTTTGTGGCACCATAATGATGTCGTACAGAAGAGACTCAACCTCTCGTAACCATCCTGATATAGGGACAAATTATTATTCGGCAGCAAGACAGATAGGCAGGGACTGACATTGGTCTGATAAGAGACAAAAGTGGGAAAACATAGGCTTCACCTCGTGTGTGGACATTCATAAATTAGTAACTTAGACAGAGAGTATTAGACTGTGAGTCTTTTTGGTGGCATTGATGTATAGTCACCGACCTGATCTGTCTCACACAACAGACGAGGAGTAAAACTAATGCTCACTTTAAAGGCATTTTTCACACCGCAAAGTTCCAGCCATTTTCAAGAGTTTGTCTACAAACCCTATCTCTGTAGTTCTTCTGCTCCAGCCACATATCACAGATACAAAAAATCAGTTTAAAGTGTTGCTTGAAAGTTTTATTTAACCTTTCCCAGTTCTCAGTTATTCCACATAAATCTGGCCTGAAACGGAATAGGTCCACATTCACAAATGTAAGTAAACGTATAGTATACTAGACACCTGCAAATGGCAAAATTAGGAGACTACTACCCATACGATAATACTTTTAAATCACGTCTTGCACAATGCCTCAGACCACACAACCAATCCATGAAGAGCCCCCAATGTCTAGCCATCAGTGAATTCAAGCGAAGTTCCTTTGCCTGCTGTATGTAATCTGTGCAACAGTAACACACTGTAAAAAAGCTGCAGGGCGTGACCGTGACTTATTTATATTCACTGACCTCAGGTGTAAGTGAAATAATCTACGGCGAGAGCGTTGCAATTCAATTCACGCAGTGGTGCTGCAGTAATTATTTCCAGCTGCTCGTGTGAGACATCAGCATTGACAGATTGCTGTTGGGCTCGTAGGGAAACAAATTAAATTAAGGATATGAGAACGACCTATCGCTGAAGCCCTTATCCACTTCACTTTAATGAAGCACATCTGACACAGACACACAAAAAACACACAATGGCGCACAGCACCAGTAGAAATTCACAACCTAGTGTCCTTGAGAAATTTGTAAAGCCTGCGTACGTTGCAGATGGCTGACCGAACGTTTCTTGCCTTCCCATGAGCCAACTTTCTCATGGGAAAATATAAGAAAACAACACGAATAAGTCCTTAATTACACAGTATGCGTTAACGTGTGTACTTTGCAACAAAAAAAAAAATGTTTCGAATCACAGACTGATTCAACAGTCCTCTTTCTAACCACTTATCGATTACAAGTCATCCTGTTAGCAGATGATATGTGCTGTTTATAAAGCCAATCATATTCCATTTCCAGCACGCTCAGCATTATGTGACGTCATTCATGATACACATCATTGAAATATAAACTTGTGAATGCAGTCATGTTTCAAAACGTTTTGTAGATGTGCTGTAAAGACCAGATCTAATCTGGAGGGTGAATGGAATGTCACTGAAAGCATTTAAGACACAAGCGCTCAAAGACTGAATATATTAACTTGTAATGTAGATTAACTGACGTTGTCAACACAGGATCCACTTAGCGTGACGGTTCTGGAGGTTGTGACTGGATTCCCAGATGATGGATTAACAATGAGCACAAAGCTTTTCAGGTTCCTATTTTTCAACACACTTAACATGCAGCATTTGTCAGGAGGGTTCTTATTAAGTCAGACACTGTGCAGCCAATTATCGATGGAAGCTAAAGGATTTGCCTGTTTGCTTGGTGAAATGGTGCATGCTTAATAACATGGACTTTTGGGGTTTAATTGTTGAAAGTGTGAACATGTGGCATGTCCGCAGACTGATGATACACCCCTGGTTAGAATGATTTCAGTGCCAGAACTGATTCTTTTTTCCATTAAGTAAAAGACATTACTAATTCTTCTTCTTCTGCTCTACTAAATTTATCAAGATTACCTATTTTAACTTCAGCTTGATCATTCACATTCTTTTAGATAGCTGTGTAATTGGCAAATTACACCTTACCCTCTTCATAGATCTTTTACTTCTATGCTGCCAAACTTTGAAGATATGGAAACAGTAGTAGGTCATTAAAGGCAACAAAAGCTATTAATTATTTGACAATAAAGAACAACAAGCTGTCTCCATGTAATTTAAAAATCAATAACATCCTCTCTTAGAGTGCTGCAGAAAAACCTGAGTGGTGCATTTGTGACTTCAAGACTGGAAGATTTTATGTCTTCATTATTGTCCTAAAGATTTTCTGAAAAGCCTCCAGCTGATCCAACATTTAAAGATCTTTTACAATATTTTGCTCTCATTTACTAACGATGAAGATTTGACATTATAGATGTCAACTCTTTCCTGTCCTTTAAACCTCAGCGGATGGAGGCAGATGGCTGCCCTCCTTGACTCAAAGGTTTTTCCCTGTGTAACCCTATAATGCCATATGACTCCTATTTGATACATACAATTTCTGAAATATTTTGTATTTGAGTCCTTTTGCATCATTTAATAGTATAAACATTGCTTATTACCCTTGTGTACACAATCAGATATACCTGATAACAGAAGACTAAACAACAAAAATTTTACTTATTACATGGTAATG